TACATGATTATGAGGCGTGCACTTTTGGATTTTCTAAACTTTTTTTATTTTTGTGGAACTAAAATAAAAAGATCTTTTTGCATAAAATACATTTATTAAATGTTTAAAGAGAATTTTGGTGTGTATAAAGTAGTTTCGCCTCATAAGTTATGCAAAAATTAAAATGAATATATAATAAAGGCTGCAAGTAGAGAAATTACACGGTGTAAAAGCATCAAATAAATGCTGGGATGAAAACGCAACACAGTAAACTCAAAGACAGTATAATGTCACAACACAGAAGAGTACAGGGTTGGTACTAGTAGAACATCAAGATGTCTGATTGTGTAAAGTGTTAGTCACTTATGCACTACTGGTTTGGAAAACACGCACGAGATATACAGAGAAAACCAATATACGATGCATTCAAATTATACTGTTGCGGTGGTGAGTAACCATAGACCGGACATTTACTTCATCTCAATGTGGTTACACCAAAGTGAGATACTGCTTGCAAAAACGCTGAAACTAACACCGGGTGCAATATTTAAGCTTTGCAAAAAAATAGTTTCCACTAGTCTAGATTAATTGCGAGATGTTTGCAGATATATCTTAATAATTGATTAATTAAAACAAGCTTTTTTATTCTGAGCTCAACACAACTTGTACTTTACTGCACTAACTGGTCCCGGAACAAAAAGTTGAGTAATATAATGCAACATATAGCGTATAACTAACGTGATATGTATGAGGAAATGCATAACGCGTTCATTATAAATTCATGCTACGTATTTGTAAATGTTTTACTTTAGTTCTTGATGTTTCATCTCGCTCTATGTTAAAAGCTTCTTGTTTCATTATATTTTATTATTGTTGAATCTTTGTGTAATTAAATTTGTTTTAATAATTAACATTTTTAAGGAAATGGAGACAAAAATGTTACCTTAGTTTTTAAAATATGTAATTAGCACATTAAAAAGAAAATTATAATTTGGTTCTAGAGAAAAATTTTAAGTCGGACAATTTTTGATCTGAAAAATTTTTTTGCAGTTTATTGAATTAAGTCTTGAATTTTTGTGATTTTAAATAACAAAAAATATCAATGAAAAAATTAAATCAAATAATTATTGAATGTAACTATTGAATATAATATTTGTTGAATTTTTTTAGCGAATAATTTGAATTTTTAAGTTATTGGTAATGAAAGTGAAATTAAATTCAAGAAAAATAGAATTTCAGTGATAATTGCATTCGTTAATTTCGTAAAAAGAACTGAATATTCACAAGGGATATATTAACAGCAGTATGAAGTCTAATTAAATTCTGATTAAAATTAAAAACTTTTCAACCGTATCAAATTAAAGAATTTATTGACTTTGTAAAAGCGAAAAAATCGGGATCTTCTAATAAAATTAATGAATTCAATAGACGAAAAGTTTTATGTTACCTCGAATTTAAAACAATATATTTAAATTAATAAAAATTATTTTAGTTTCTCTACCTCTGCTTTGTAGAAA